ACAAAACACAACATAGAAAACTGAAGACTGAGCAAAACGAAAACATTAAACAAAAAGAGCCAAATGTTAACAGGACAGCCGTGGTGTCATCACAATTACATAATTTAATTTTTACGATAAATTTACAGACAATGAATCACATACATAGAGCTAACACCGAAGCACTATCTATTGAGCCAGGTTGTAAGTTGAGAAGCTGAGATACCTAAACAATAGACCAGTACTTGAAGGCGATATTACAACTTGAAATGTAGACAACAACTTGGCAAAATAAAAATATTTGAAGTCTGTTGCATTTGTAAACGACTATACACTTTTGTTGTAGTTTTTTTTATCGATATTTTTACCCTATTTTCCAAATTTGTGCTATCCAATGTTTTATGTATTTTACGCACGTATACCTGGATTAACCTAACCACATTTTGTACCTGTACCTGGGCCATGAATTCTTTGTTGGTGATTGTCTTTTTTTGTGCGTCTGTAGAATAATTCGGGTGTTAACTTGTTAACCCTTTAATTTATCCTAAATCTTCAATATTGCCAAATGACTTTATATTGTTTTTATCATGTTGTTGGCCTTATATACTAATTGATATAACTTTGGACTTACATAACGGCCGATGTTTGTACAGTAGGAGATTGTTAGTCTGTCGGTGCACTTGGTTCATGCAATATTAACTCCCATTTATGTCTGCTATTAAACTTGTGATCGTTCATCTGAGTTAATAACAGTATTTGATAGATAGAAGGACTAATATACTCTAAAAATGCACAAAAAATATAAATTCATAGATATAAGAAGATGTGGTACGAGTGCCAATGAGACAACACTCCATTCAAGTCACAATTTGTAAAAGAAAACCATTATAGGTCAAAGTGCGGCCTTCAACACGGAGCCTTAGCTCACACCGAACAGCAAGCTATAAAGGGTCCCAAAAATGACTAGTGTAAAACCATTCAAACAGGAAAACCAACGGTCTAATCTATATAAAAAACGAGAAACGAAAAACACTTATGAACCACAGCAACAAACGACAACCACTGAACATCAGGTTCCTCACTTGGGACAGGTGCATTCAATGCAGCGGGTTTAAACGTTTTAATAGGCACCAACCTTCATCCTACCTGAAACAATAGTGTAACATCACAACATAGAAAGACACACTATAAAATATCAATTGAAATGGCTTAACTTAATCAAAAGACATATTAACAAAAACAAGTGAACATACACTAAACGAATAAATTTTATCTATGACACAATGTAAATACAAAATTAATAAAACAAGGGGGTTAGATGTAAAACAATACCAGAAAGACAAAAATAACTTTGGACAAAATGCCGCCAAATAAAATAACGTACACAGGTAAATAAAAATAATTTTGTTGTAAGGTATACATGGATAATTGGCACTCATACCACATATTCTTATATTCTTATATGGAGTACGGAAATATTTTTTACAAAATAGATAATTTTGTTGTTCCTAGTACGAGAACAAAAGGTAAAATTTATCGTCATACTAAACACTTATCAAAGGTGGTATATATTAAAAATAGTGGGACTAGATATAACACTGGATAAGTAAACATTAAATAACAAAAATCGATTACAAATTGTATCAACAGTTCAAATTAACACGAAAGTACGATTTGAGAATACTCGCAGTTACCGAAAGCTAGTTAAAAGCCAAAAACAATTAATAATAAAAAATCATGCATCAGAGACTAAAATCAACTAAAACACATCATAGGGATTGAGTGTTTTAACGTCATGGACAGTCAAAGAAGACATGACTTGTGCAATGCCAAAATAAAAGTATCGACAGGCAGAAGGATAGTTAGGAGTTAACCTGTTAATAAATATGTATAATGTAATATATAGATAGAGTAATCTCTATATAGAAAATGAACGTGGATGTGTATTTATACATCCCAAAAAAACGTTTGAAAAGAATACAAATTTAGTTATGTTTTAATTTGCTGATGACAAAATCGAATATTTGTGCCAATGTAAACTATATACAAAGATCTAATTACAACATTGGTAAGATAACCTTTACTAATAAGTTTGTATAAATTCAGCTTCTTGATAAGGGTTACTATGAAAAAGGGTTATAGTTGAATCATTGTGGTGTGTAGTTTTAATATAAATTCACATATTTGCAGCATTAAACACGAATTCTTTATTTATTTTCTTTCCTGTATCGAGATTCTATGTGATTCCTATATTTGGCATAACATAGACTGATTATTCCAGTTATTACTATTCACCACGTTACTGGAAATCTATTAGAAAGTACAGCAGCAGTTAAAAAGACGGCAAGATTTATATATCAGCTGAGTTAAGTGCTATGAGCTTGTTTTCAGTTATTTGTAGCATTCTGTGGTTTTATCTACCATTGTTTTACCAATGCTGTGTTTTTATCGGTATAATTTGTTGCTTTCTTCTGATCTGATTTGCTGACTCCTACTTATCGTTTTTTTTTTATTTCATTCATTGAGAAAAAAAGAGAGCAGTCACTGTGGTTCTCTTAATCTAAATCTTGAATATTGTCCATCAAGGAATGTTGTGTTGATGACAGCTAGTTGGTAGTCGTTTAAGTAACAACTGGTTATTCATTTATCCCAGTATTACGTAAAACTATGTGCATACAAAGCTTACAGATAGAAAGTCAAAGTTCTTCGTTTGTTGGACTTCTTGCAATAACCAATGTGTATTCATTATATTTTATTGAGCGGCGGCATTTTAACGTACCCATCAAAGCCAGAAAGTAAATAAATGATACCATGTCCCTTAACAGGGTTCGAATAATGGTGTGACAGTTAGCCCATAATCAAATAAATGTTGACAGTAAAACTTGATTATTTTTTTTTGTATGTGAAAAAAATTGGATTGACCATCAAAAAATTATGACATGATCTCCTAAATCGAGATTAATAAAGTCACAAAGTTTATTAAAGTGTTATTTCACACTCTGTCTCTGGACACATAGAACAATACAGTTTAATATTGGGATAATAAATTTTGAAATATCAGATCTACCTTGACCCATTGAGTGATTTTATTTTGATCGAATCATAGGTCAAATATAAGTGTGTGAAAATACGATAAATCATAAAAGACACAAAGTCTGTTGTAGTGGCCTAAGTTTTTAGAAAAGTTAGTTGAACCGATCAAAGAATAAACAAGCAAGTTAATTACAGAACGAATATGCAGATTTGCCAGGAGCGCAAGATATGTCCCTCATATGCATATCTAAAAATTGCTGCAAGAATAAAATGGAAAAGTAGAGATTGCATCAATCAAAAGTCAGTGAAATGACCTTGAAGGTGTATCATAAGGCGTAATGCTGCCTTTAATTTTGCGATTTAAGTCCCATTACTCTGGAAAAAAACAAAAAAACGAAAGGGAGTTTACATTCACCTTACCTTGAAGTAAATTGATACAAGCATGATCGAGTTAGTGTGCGACATGTGAAACATTGCCTGTAACTTAACGGTTAAGGTTCAATTACCCTGGAATGACATAGCATAAAACCTTCATTGCCTGTAACTTAACGGTTAAGGTTCAATTACCCTGGAATGACATAGCATAAAACCTTCATTGCCTGTAACTTAACGGTTAAGGTTCAATTACCCTGGAATGACATAGCATAAAACCTTCATTGCCTGTAACTTAACGGTTAAGGTTCAATTACCCTGGAATGACATAGCATAAAACCTTCATTGCCTGTAATTTAACGATTAAGGTTCAATTACCCTGGAATGACATAGCATAAAACCTTCATTGCCTGTAACTTAACGGTTAAGGTTCAATTACCCTGGAATAACATAGCATAAAACCTTCATTGCCTGTAACTTAACGGTTAAGGTTCAATTACCCTGGAATAACATAGCATAAAACCTTCATTGCCTGTAACTTAACGGTTAAGGTTCAATTACCCTGGAATAATATAGCATAAAACCTTCATTGCCTGTAACTTAACGGTTAAGGTTCAATTACCCTGGAATAACATAGCATAAAACCTTCATTGCCTGTAACTTAACAGTTAAGGTTCTATTACCCTGGAATGACATAGCATAATACCTTCAGTGCCTGTAACTTAACGGTTAAGGTTCAATTACCCTGGAATGACATAGCATAAAACCTTCACACATTCTAACGACAGTTTGAAGTAAATTTGTTCTTCCAAGCTTAGCCAAGTTAGTGCGCGATATGGGAACAATTGTATAAAATCTGACAGTTAAGGTCCGGTAACTGGAACGTCAAACCGATATTTTGTGTAACGAATCGAAAGCGGGTTTAAATATTTCAAAGAAGTTGCATTTTGATCAATCGCTTCTGTACTACTTGTGATCATCCGGGAAACAGACGGACGGACGAACAGACGGTAATACTTCCCGTCTATGATGACGTATAAAAAAGACCTCGCAGCATTAAACATTATATATATATACTGCTGTACAACGTAAGTAATAAGCTTTCGCAGTAGTATTCATCAGGAAATGTTAATTAATTAACTCAATGATCGGCAGGATCAACTATTAATTAATTCCAGTGATATTTAATTATGTCTGCCAGCATTTCAAATGCTCTCATTCTATAAAGTTTGTTTACTACTGGCATTGACTTGATTGATCTTAACAACTTAAAAGAAACATGCTTTCTTATTTTCATAAACAATTGTGAGATCGATACGGTTGTGAATAGTGTTAATTTTAATGTATTATCACCTGTCTATGATGTATAACTAAGACATGTAATGGACAGCTATCAAATAGCATGTTTAGAGAATAAGTTTTTAAAATTATTTACAAAATGTGGATGTTCAAACTAAAAATGACGTTATCTGTCCTTATGTACTTATATCAAAACTTTGGTTCGAAGTATGTGCTGACGGAATGTCGGATACCTCACTTACGATAAAGATACTGTTACCTTTTTTCTGATGTGATTGAGCTATTTAGATTAATTATTCGTGTTTTATCATGTTCTAACTGTGAAAAGTAGCTTTGATTGGGTGATTCGTTTTACTATACATTGAACAGTTGGACACGTCAAATAGTGCAAGGAATTTAATGGAAATTCATCGTTGTCGTCAACTAATGGATATTTTTCAATTAAAAGAATATTAAATCAATATATGATATACGAAAAAGACAACCGATCCTTTAATGATGTATACTTTATTGTGTAAAGCTGAAAATTAATTCATAAATTTAATTGCATTGCATTTTCTACACTGATTCATGGAACTCTGGAAAATGCCACTTACTATTTGCCTCTATTGAAACAGGAATGAGTTATTACCTTAAAAGTTTAAGAAATGCCAGCGTTGGCTATTCTAATTTCATCTTTTTTCGTCATTTGTCTTGGACGAATCCCAGATGAGCAAAAGTTACTGGAAGTTTTGTTAAAAGACTACAACCCAGGTGCAAGACCCGTATTCAACGCTTCTCACATATTATTGGCTAAATTTGGATTAACACTCATTCAGATCTCAGACATGGTGAGTAAAACGTTTTTTTATTTCTATTTTTCAGTTTTGGGTATATATCGTTCACAGCAACTACCAGATGAACAGCGTTTATTGGAGTATATATTAGATCGTTATAACACTGCTGCCAGACCGGTATATGATGCCTCCAAAAATGTCACTATTAGTTTCGGAATGACACTGATACAAATTGCTGATATGGTAGGAATCTAAAATGGTTTTTACTTCGATGCACGTCAAATGAAATCCCCAATTATATAATACACTTTTAAGGTGGCTCGGGTGTCTTCCTCCATCTTGGATTTTGAAAAGCAGATAACAATCGGTCTAGATCTTTAATAAAATGTGCAAATTTCGAGAGTAGTATGTAATTCATGTGTAAGACTTTTTGTGTTAATATAGAAAATTATGTGTTTAATCATATTTTACGGCTGTATTTTACAAAAAAATAGAATATTTTTTTCATTCAATTTTTTTCAACTGTGCCACATAAGGGGAGATAACTCAGACAAAGTAACTTTTATAATAGAATGTGTTATGAATTTACCTATTCTATGATGTAGCAAGAAAACGAGTTCGGTGACCCCACTTTTTCTTTTTCTTATCTGAAAGCATATTATTAGAGCTATCTTCTCATATTTAATCTTAAAATTTTATGGTTTAGTTTTCTTTTTATCACAAAAAAATTGGGTTTTCCATGCATAATCTATACAAAATATGACAATTTTGCACAACCTGTAGCTCGAAAAAAAGCCCGGTGACCAATACTTTTTATTATATTTTTGAAAAAAGCATGACATAAACTACTTTTTGACAAATTATTAAAAAATTCAATGGATTTTAGTTAAGACCCCCCCCCCCCCCCCCCCCCCCCCCCATCTACCTTAAGGGAATTACAATCATCATATTTACTTGCGCAACCAGACACATCGAATATTTATTTATTTGTTTTTAGAAAAAATATTTTGAACATTAATTTTATTTTACCATTGTTGTTGTGTTTTCTTTGGGGAAAAATATAGCAACTTGGTTCTTAATTATATCCATAAATCAAAAGTAATAAAGACCAGCTAATGTGGTTAAATATTATTTTCTGCAATCATTAAAAACAATTTCTCCTAAAGATGAGAATAGAAAACTTCTATATTTTTCAATTTCATTTCTTCAGATGATATGCCAACTTTTGAACAAGAAAGAATATAAAATGTATTGAATAAAGATAATTTTCATGTCTGTTGAAAGAGGATATTTATACACGTGGACAGTTTATATAATCTTAACAGAACATGTCCCTTTATTTTAACTGAGTACTGATACTTGATATCAAAAATGATTTGGAACAGACCTGTTCAAATTTCCACTAAAGATGGTATATAGTCGGGATGTTATAGAGCATGACATATTGTGGAAGACTGTATGTTGCACTATGTATGTCCTTTGATTATTTTTTTGTCGCTTTGTTGTTGTATATTTGACGTATTAGTAACATCTCCTTTTGTTCACAAGACACACATGAAAAATTTGCAAAACATTTGAAAAACAAGCCTTTTCTTTTCAAGTGACCGTCCATCTTATATCACAGCAGATACTTTCATAGCTTGTATTTATTTTTCTTTACATCCAAAGACAAGTTAGAGAAATTGAACATTAAGCGTAGTTGACATGCTTTTCGGTGTGAGCCAAGGCTCCGTGTTGAAGGCCGTACTTTGACCTATAATGGTTTCCTTTACAAATTGTGACTTGGATGGAGAGTTGTCTCATTGGCACTCATACCACATCTTCTTATATCTACTATTAACTTTTCAAATTGTAACATGTTCAAGTGGTAAAGTAGTATAAAAATAAATAAAATCATGTATACGTTCACTAGCTCAGACCCTCGAAAACATTTCCAAACATTTTTTTTAGTAAATTTTGTAATTCCGCTGCTTGAGAATAAAAGGGGATAGCTTGGGATAGACGGAACATTTAACCCTTCATACGGCTTACTTTTTAAATTTAAAAAAGGGTCTTGAAAAAGCATCAATATAAAAGTTAAAAGATATTAATACGATTGCCAATGAGACAACTATCTACCAAAAAACAAAATGATAAGGACGTGAACTAGCTACAGGTTACTGTACAGACTTCAACAATGAGCGAAACTCCTACCGAATGGTAAGCTATAGAAGGCGCTGGATGACAAAAAATGCAAGTCCAAAACAGAAAACTTACAGCCTTATTTATGCTAGAAACTTTAAACGAAAAACAATTATAGCAAAAAGCAACCACTGGATTACAAGCTCTTAGGTTGGGATAGGCACATACACATGTGACAGGGTTTGTGAATGCTCAACCATCTTCCTAACCTGGGACAGTGTATTACAGTACCCTATATAAGGGCGGACAGACTAGCTTTCATCATAACCCCACCCCTTCCTTTTGGGACGAAGGCATCATCTGAAACAGGCCCAATATATAGTACTATAATATATAGATTAATTGGGACGCTTTTGGTTGCTATATCATATATGGGTAAAGCAACCTTTTATTTTCAATGCTCTTTTACTTTGTACTTTATTTGACCTTTTAACTTTTTTTTTATTTTGTGAGTCTTTTGTAGAAGAAACGCGCGTCTGCCGCACAAAATTATAATATAAAAATAAGGAGATGTGGTATGATTGCCCATGAGACAACTATACACTACAGTTCAAATGAAGTGGATATAAGCAATTATAGACAACCGTATGACCTCCAACAATGAGAAATACCCACACCGTATAGTCGGCTATAAAAGGGCCCGACATGAAAAACATAAAACAATTCAATAGAGAAAACTAACGGCGTAATTTAAAACAAAACAATTTACGAAAAACAAATATGACAGACATGAACCAACGACAACCACTGACATATAGGCTCCTGACTTGGGATAGACACATATAGAATGTGGCGGGGTTAAACATGCTTGAAGACCCCTAACCCTCCCCTAACCTTGGACAGTGGTGTAACAGTACAACATAAGAACAAACTATAAGAATCAGTTGAAAAGGGATTAACTCATCAGATCGATACAAATCATATAAACATCTAACAAAAACAGACCGGACGTGGCAGGGTATTTATACCTCCCTAAAACAAAAAACAAAACAAAAAACTTGACGTTCTCGCAGTTACTGACAGCTAGTTCAAAGCCAATAACAACTAATATAACAATTCATGTATCAAAGACTAAAACATAAATCAGTACACATCCAACATCCGATGGATTTATTATAAAGACGTCATTAACAGTCAGAGAAAAACATGACCTTGTGCAATGTCAAAATATAGGTAACGACAGATTGAAGTATTGTGAATGTGCATATGTGCATAACAATAATATTTAGTATAAATAAGCCTGGGGCCAGTTTCACAAAGCTGTCTTAGGAGTAGGACATGTCTTAGGATGGTCTTACGATATTTCTTAGTCCTAAGTGGGTTTCACAAAGTGGTCCTAACTTAAGACATCTCTTAAAGTTGGTTATAAAGTTAGGACTACACGAGAGGTGTCTTATAATGGTCTTAGGACAGTCATCAGTTTCCACGGCATCCAAAAGAGTTTGAAGCTCTGATTATGTGAAATTATGACTCCTGTCCTGCTCATAACTTAATCTTTATAGTTTGACGGATTATCAAAATGATTTATCAACAATGAACATTCGTTGTTTTTGTAGCAAGAATGCACGATTTTATCCTTTAACCTTATTATAACCGATACAGTGACAAATTGAATTCAACTCACTTCTACAAAAACCATTGTCATCATTTTATTCTTTTTTTTTCTCCATTTTGTATGTGAATTTTCATATGTATATTGGTGTATTATTAATAGATTATTTATATAAATAACACTTATTTTTTATATTAGTTTTGCAAATTACCTAATATGGAATATTTTAATCAATACGTTTAGTAATTTATGGGAAGCACCTAATACATTTACATGAATTTTCCATAAATCCATATTTAAAGATTTAAAGAACTTGCGACAGGTTAAGGATATCTTTGCTAAGATTATCCGAAGACAGCGTCGAGGCGAGGTCTGAGATATGTCCTAAGATGGTCATAAGAGGATCATAAGACATGTCCTAAGATATATCTTAATTATGACAGGTCTTAGGATAGCTTCGTGAAACTGGTCCCTGGTATAGTTGATTAGTTTTTACAGACCTTTTAACAGGTCAGGAACTCTAGATTTCCTAACGTCAGTATATATTTGCATAGTAATTTCCCAAATAGAAGGTAAACATGGCTTTGAAAAACTGACCAATCGACTCAATGAACTACAATGCATTGTGGGCTACTACGAGTTTACTACTACTTAAAACACGTGGAATAAGTGGGAAAACTGTCAACTTATATAGTGTCTGGGACTCTCATGATAAATATTTTTGTTCAGCCAATGTATTAAATGTAAAATATTTACCATAATCTTCAATTTGCATGCTCAGATTAAAAAATATTGTTTATTGGTTACACGATTCGACTTTCTTTTTCGCCTTGTAAAAGTAGTTGAACAGGTTTTGTCCATTGTTATGCATTGTACCTGTGCATTAATTTCACGCGAATTAGTGAAATTTCCAATGAAGTGACATATGTCCAGTATAAAAATTACTTGAGCTCTTTGAAACCTGTCAAAACGGTTTGAAGGAATGGGTTACACGCCTCTCTATATATATTCTATTGGTGTTTTTTTTTGTATCCTGTATAATGCCATTAAAAAAAATCTGCTGCTTCGAAAAACACAAAAAATTGTGTAATATAAAGTGGGGACGGTTAATAGCTTAGAATATTTTGTACACTTTTGTCCGTAGATGAAGTCCGTCTGTTATTTTATCCCAACATGCCTTTAACAATAAAAGCGAAACCAGTCCATTACAGACTTACACCTGGCCATTATAAATGAGCTGCGCTATTCTGAACGAACTGGGCCTTTATGGATTTTGAGCTGTTATCAATTTAAATACATATTATGGGAAAATAAACTATTA